GCCACTTGAGAGGAAAGGAGATGAACACAGAGCAGAATGACAACCAATAGAACGATGGCCTGATTGCCTAGAAGCTCTTGATCCCAGATGTAGCGCGAGGCGATGTGAACGGAAACAAAGCAAAGGCAGTGACAAAAATAAACAGAGCTTAGCAGATAGAGCCGGGAAAGCAGCTAAGAATGCATGCTGAGAAGCTGAGCGTGCAACTCTTCATCGTAATATGGCGTGACACTGCATCATTATTGTCATGAATTAATACAGTCATTCTTCCCATTTGTTGTTTATTCAATCATTGTTTGTTGGCTGTTCCTTTCCGCTGCCTGAGAGGTCTTGGCCTCCTAATGGGCTCGTGGAGCTTGCCAGCGACACCCCGCATTCTGTGCCTCATCAGACATACCACTTTATGCTACTTTTGACCCCGCCCCCACATTCTACATGTTATACAATTCCAATATCCGGTGAAGCAGAGAAGTATGGATTCGAATGTTTGCTGGGAAGGACACTCTCAAACTTGCCATATGTCAAGCCCATGGCCGGCCAGAATTTAGACCATGACCGAGGCCGCCGCTGGATTTGAGCTCTGAAAATGGCAGTTTGGTGCAGGCTGAGCTCTACATGCTTTGCATGATACCACCAGGAGTTGGGAGTCAGCCTCGGCCCCTTTCTTGACTCGATGAAGCACTTGCACCTGTTCAGACAGAGCACTTGTTCTTGAGGGCGAATATTGCAATGCAATAGTGATCAGTCCAAATCTGCTATCAGAACCAGGGTCTCCGAAAGCTGCAGCACAGCTCCACACGATATGTGCCTGGGACCGCAAGGGTACACTCCAGCACCTTCTCTCCTTTGTTTCGATGTATTGTGTCCAACTGTACTATCTAGATTCTAGACAGACGTCAGAGACAAATTCAGCCACTCTTTCCTGTCCTTTTCGGTAAAGAACTGCTCTAGCCTGAGTCTGTCTGACACGCTTTAGTTTGTGCCTCATTCAGAGTGCATAAGCGGTGGTGCCTACACAGGGTCTTTGTTTTTGGCGAATGCCTTGGTCTCTTTCGTTGTCGTTGACCATGTTGCCGTTGTTTTGTGGTCAGGTGAGCCTGAGAACGGCCACTATAGTCACTGGAATCTCAGAATCGGAAGACTGTGACATCTAAAGCCAAAGGACCGTCTAAAATGAGGCGCCATGTGAGAGTGCTCGGCCATCACGCAACTTGGCTGCACGATGTGCCGAAATGCTTGGTTGTGTCAGCTTCAGTCTGAATCAGTAAGGCACCTTCCGATAAACTCCAAAGGTTGTATGTTTTGGCACTGAACATGCACCTGCAAGTGTCTCTTTTTGCAGACTACGTTTCTCCCTTTCTGTACAGTCGTGTGTGAACATTATTTTGCCCGTGCTTTGCACAGACAGGTGGAACCACAGAAACAGTCAATGCATCAATGTCTATTGCAAAAGCACTTCAATCGCTCTTGGATACTAGATTCTAGATTTTGTCCAATTCACTGAAGCCGCTGTACCCAGAAGCTTTCTGAGCCTGTTGGGCCTATCAGCTTAGGCGTTTCTGGCGTTTCATACTTGGGGCAAGTAGCCAACAGCCGACTTCAAGAGGCCCTTACTACTCGACGCACGTGCGGAGTAGAAAGCGAAAGTGGAGGTAGCTGAGGGAGGGAGTCAAGGAGCCAAAGGGTGATATCAAGGAGTTAAGGAAGATCACAGAAATGTGTTTTGCAATAATTTTACCTTTCCTTCTCAACAAAGCTGTAACTACTTCTACATCTGACCTCAATGCAGTCTTTATTTGTATATTTATGTGTTATTTTGATTTCCTGATTGCATAGCATGACGACCACCTCAGTCAGGTATTTCTTCCGTCAGCATGTCCCAAAGTTTAACTACTCTCCGACTCAACATTCATAATTTAGACAATCTGCCATGCCAAGGGACTTTCCACCACTAATCAGTCGCCCGGATTCCAATAGGGAAACTCAGGGGCATCCAAACACGACAATCACAGATTGCTTTCTCTAACCCTGTTTTAGCCTGCAAGATCTCCGTGTCAGGCTGACACTGAGCTGAACATGTACGAAAGTCAGGTGCAGCGTTTGCCAAGAAAAAGGTGCAAGGAAAGAAGTTGAGCACATTGATGACAACAAACCACCACCACAGCCACCGCCTGCACAGCAACAGCAACAGCAACATATCCAGCATGAATTTGCAGATACCACCTTTTGTGAAACGCTGACCAGCAATTAAACGAATTAGTCCGTGGCTGCAACTTGCACTCAGCCGGCATGCAGCCTGAGCCGTCAGGTGTATGCCAGCCTGAAGCCTCCTCCAGCTTGGGCCTCGCAAAGAAAGCCCAAAGGTAGCGAAAGAGTTTTGGTCCTGAATACACTGGGAGACCGACAAATTGCATAAATTTTGACTCCCCACATTTAAGGTGCCAAATGACTTAAGTTGTCTGGCGTGAAGGTCCCCAATCTACTCCAAACAGGGCACTCGGTGGGTTGTCTCCAGCCTCGGAGTCAAGCAATCACTGGAAGCAAGAGTCTCTTCCCAGCAGGTAACTATGTTGAGGTTTTTGTTGCTGGATGTTGAGATTTCACACGTTTGGACAACGCATTCATTGAGCTTCAAAGTATCAAGGCAGAAAGGTGACTTGAAGAGCTGTGACAACGCATCCTAGGTGCCGGAGCGTCGCAGTGATCGTGGGAGCCTGACAAGCCAACATGGTAGGTCTCTTCCTCTAGGTTGAAAGATGTTCAATGGCTTTACTTGAGGAAACTCTATGGTCGAGCACAAGAGTGCGGCATCTGATCAAGGCTCTTGGAGACCTAAGATAGTCGAGAGAGACAACATTCTGGAAGCTTTGCTATCAACTCACATAGCAGCAAAGGTGGAAATTCTCCATCAACACGTGCTTTGAATGAAGGAGGGTATGACTCATTATGACATGTATGACGTTCGTGGTTCACTGACATTATATGTATATATATATACTTATTGATTGCAAAGTAGCTCATTGGACGTCACATGTCTGGAGAATCTATAGGAACAGCATGGAAGTTCATGGAACAGCTGTTTCAATTTCTTTTGCTTTTCCAATTTATATATGCATATATTTACATGTACATACATTCATGACCTTCAGCTGCCGGGCTGGTGGAAGCTTATTTGTTTCGATAGGCCAGCGGATCAGACCTGTAAAGCAGGCAGGCCTCATTGCACACTGAGATTCTGTTTGCAGATCAACACATGTTAATTGGGCCCTAAATGTGACATTTGTTTCTTAAGCTACTAGGAGCAAGGGCATCGCTACTAGTAACAAAGGGCATCGCTACTAGGAGCAAGGACGCTACATATGTATGTTTCGCTTCTGGATCCTTTCCTGTCGCCAGGATCACTAACATAGTATCGGACTCTGAGAGATTTGGTAGTTTCTATCAGACAGTCCCTAAGTCCCTAGCAAGCTTGCTTCAACCCCTGCAGGATGAAGTGGTGCTTGAGACGCTCAAGATGCAGGAGGTGCGCCACTACAAGGCGCTGCCCTGGTGTCACTTGAGCAAGCAAAAATCGTTGTATACAATTGCTATTCTCAAGATTCATGAACTGCATGTGTTCTATCCCATACCTATGCAGTGTACCTACGATGCCAACTCCCATACCATCCCAAGCAGTAACCAATAGAGCATTTTTTCTTGAGAATAGCTGAACATAGCTAAGAGTATTTAACCAAAGAGGAAACGAGATTGAGACCACGACCCCCCAGAGCAGGACAATTAGATTATCTCAGTGTGACCCTTGCTTGACTCTGCTTAACACCCTGGTGCAAACATTATTCTAGAAGACTCTTTTGGTGACACTCTTGTAGGACACCTTCATGCAATACTATTGCTTGACAATTTTGTGCGAGGCCCTCCTCGCACACTCTTGTCGGACACTCTTGTGCGACACTCTTGTAGGACACACTTGTGTGACACTCTTGCTTGAAGCTCTTGTGCGAGACTCTTTTCTAGGATGCCCTTGTGTGACACCCTTGTCGGATGCACTTAGAGACAGAAAGGAAAGGCTGAAGGAGAGAGAGAGAGAGAGACATTGAACTTACATGTCACATGTCTTATCCACTTTCTTTCTTAGGTTATCTCTTATATATATATAACACTTTTTTTTTCCCCCTTGCATAGATCTCTCTCTCTCTACATGTATATATACATATATATGGTACTCATATTTTCCAAGTAAGTACCTGCCAATCTGACCAGAAAAGCTAATAAACCTACACCAAACTCGGCAAGCATCAATAAAATACATTCAACATAGGAGCGTAGGAGAAGGGGAATAACTACATGCTTATATTGGTTGTAGGCATATGGCGACACGGCTTGCGCCAAGCGCCAGAGCGTTGTGACCTTGGGAGGTGGCCTTGCCAAGCCGACCAGTCGTGGTCACCGTGTCGGTGACCAGGACATCAGGTGCGAAGTGTCGAGCTTCCGGCACTAGTAGGAACAATGTTCGCTACTAGAAACAAGTGCCACGCTAGTAGTAACAGGTGCCTTACTAGTAGGAACAAGAAGCTACTAGAAACAATGTTCGCTTCAGTGCCACGCAGCCATGATGGGTCATGTGATTCATGAAGTGAGCGCAGTATTTGGAGGGCACACTTCTCCCAGAAGATCCCCGCACACTACCATGTATAGATGCAACAGTCCACCAGAAGAATCAAAGGTGCCTATGGAAGACTGCACCAGACAAATCCTTCTGGGAGATGCAACAAACAATGCAATTAATTAATGCGATCTCGTGATCAGAAGAAGTGAATTAATGCTGCCCTTCAAGGGTCCCTGTTCCAAATATGACTTTTGTATAACTTTAGTCAGTACGGTGTGTATGTCGAAAAAAAGAAACAAACATATATACACAGAGAGAGAACCTCTTTCATCAAATTGATATGGAAAAAGAACACTGATTTTATTGCGGAGATGTTAACAACGTGAATCTGTGAATGGCGATGGAGCGCATCGCAAGTGTGCGGTCTGCGGGTGAGCCAGGAGCTGCAGGCCCCGCCACGTAGCAGTGACTGGGGAATATCTTCAATATCTCTTGTTTAGCTCTGTCTCAGATCCCATCAAACCTAGATTGAGATCCCTGAGGAAGAGCCCAAGCTCTTGGCCGCTATTCGGAGCTTTGGATCGAGACAGATGTCAGAGGTATAGACATGTTGCGCTGCATGACATCCAAGGAAAAGCCTCAAAGTGCAAGCCGAGGACGTCCTCCGGCTTCCCGGAAGTGTCACTTGGCCAAGATGTGGGTCATGAAACAATGACGAGTCATCCCATAAAAACATTGTTTCCGATTCAAGGTTGATTTTGGATTATGCTGTGAGCTAGACTGATAGCCGCTCCCGCTTGAAGGAGATGCCATTCATGTTGTGGAGTACATCCGTCCCTTTCTGTTTCCCACCCGCGAAGAGGTGTTCATTTGCCACTCAATTTATCAGGGGTTGCAATTGGTTGCTGTCCAGGCGACGCGTGTGGCAAACAATATGCTCCTTGGCTATATTTGCATATATTTGCACACCGGAGACAACAGGGAATGTGTCTGGACCGGCTCGAAACTCACCGGCAAAGCATATTTCATTTTTGGATTCCTTGTGATACCCCTAGCAACTTTTTCCTTGTGATACCTGGACAGAGCAACTGAGCTCTGGACACCAGGCGTGCCGTTGCGCGCAGAAGTCCATGCAGATGGTTCCTTGGCAGAGTTGGTGGCAGGTTCCAGGTTGAAAGGCTGAAGGGAGAAATTCCAGTCGAATGAAGAACATACGATAAGGATGCAACATCTTTGAGGTTTCTCCGAGACCACGACGAAGCATTCACAGCATTCACCTGTAACAAATCCGTGAAGCGTTTTGCATGCAGTCCTTAAGGCGAAGAAAAGTGCGGAGATGTTGGCGCATCAGCTCCTCTGTGGGACCTGGGGCGAAAAAGGGAACCTCTATATAATAACATTAGAAACTTAATGCATTTTTCATATTTTGTTTTTTCGTTTACCTAAAGACAAAGACAAGACGTGAACATTTTGAGGTACTGTACCCCTTTGGAATCTTCACAATTGATATCCTCTCTGTCCGATGTTCTTTCTGGTAGCCGGCGTGCATTTACCAAACCTAGGTTCTGGTTGAAGTCTTGTAACTTGCTTGACGACCCAATGATTGAAGTGGACGTGGTTGCTCGCAGCTCCGGTTCTTGGTACTGGACAGAAAAGAAACTGCCTTCTCGTGGTAGGTTGGCGATGCACTTTCTGCAACGGACCAGTGGAAGGTTTCGAGGACAGACTGTGGACGGTTCCTGTCAGCTTGCGCCAGATGCGGATGAAGCATGCGCTGCATGTGCTGCATGTTTACAGCGCGATGTGGTCCATTCCTTCTTCGTTCTCGGTATAGAAGCTGTCTGGGTTTCGCCAGTTGCTCAGTGGCATCGTGCCTTGTACGAGTCGCCACGGCGTGGCCATTCCGCAGCCGAATGGCGTGGCCATCGCTAGTAGGTTGGAGGCCATCGCTCTTACGTTGGAGGCCATCGCTCTTACGTTGGAGGCCATCGCTCTTACGTTGGATGCCATTGCTTCTAGGTTGGAGGCCATGGCTTCTAGGTCGGAGGCCATTGCTTCTAGGTTGGAAGCCATCGCTAGTAGGTTGGAGGCCGTTGCTTC